CAGATGAAGCTCTATCTCACCTGGAAGGGTTGTTTAAGGACCCGAATGGAGGTGAGGGAGGTGTTGCATCTTTTACGGTTACAGGGGAAGGTACCGGGTGGGTTGGAGTGGTTGGTGGGGAGTGTGGTGCGAACTAAGGAGTGGCAAAGGGATGGTCCTTGTGGAAGGCAGAGAGGGGTGGGGAGTGGAAAACGTCTTGGGTAAGTAATAATATGTCTGAACAGGTAGAAAATATCTGGAGAAAGGAGGATTGGTGGCAGTACGCTACTCTAAAACCACAGTACCATACGCTGGTGGTGAGGCTACCTGAAAATAGGGCGTTTTGGCGAAAGGGTAAGGATTCATGATCACTGATAACGCAGATCTTGAAACTTTCACTGAAACCTACACACCATGGAAGTGGGAGAGGCATTACCCCTAGTCTGGGGTGGGCGGTTACTAACCTGCAGTCTCAATTCCATTTGTTTCGGTGTCAGACTTGCTCGGACAGCTCCTCTGGCATTCTCTCACTGGCACTGCGCTGCCCGCACACTTCCGGGCTTCCCGCGCCACCAGGCGGCTCTCGGAGGGCGGTACTTGTAACATCGCCAGCTCCTGGTTGACTTTCAGCTTGGTCCTCCAACAGTTCCTGCACAACGCTCTCCGGTGGGGATAGCGCTTCACTGGAATCTCGCCAGCAGTGGGTCACCGGCTCCGTGTTTGCTACCCGCTGTGGGTTCGCTGGTACGGGAGGGGAAGGCTGTCTGTAGATACTATCTCCAGTCTCTCCCTTCGCAAGCGGCTGGCTCGCTGCTGGCCTGCCTGCAGTTATCACTCCTGGCGCTAGGAGGCGGCCCTGTTCTTCATCATCCGACTCCGAGTCCGGAGCTGTGTGGTGGCGGAGCCTCAAAACCGATCGCAACACCTTACCGTGCAATTCCTCGGCTGCTGAATTCGGGCTGGCAAGTTCCAAAGGAGCTATGTGCCCGGAGTCTCCCTCAGTTCCGCTGCTGGAGCCGTGACCTTCCGGAAGCGAGGAGGAAGTTTTCTGTGGGATTTCGGGCTGGTCGGATTTCTCCTCACTGGCTCCCGTTTGCGGCTCACTGCACGTAACCTCAGGCGGCGATGAAGCTTGAGCAGCAGCGGGAGGCGGCAGGCTCCCAGCAGTTGCTGGCTTCACAGTCTCCTGTGCAATAGAGTCCTGTACTTCCTCAGAATGGTCCATCGTGTTGTCACCATCCCGTGGTCCGCCCTCTGTCTGAGCCTCATTCTGTTCATTCAATTCACTGGCCTCTGGCTCACTCTCCCTGGCCTGCACTTGCACTGTGTTCGGCTGTATCCTGGGTAGACCCAGTATGCGGATGGTCCTTTCCTTTATGCTCTCCTTCACCCTGGGAGGTGGGAATGGGTCTCCACTTACCTCTAGAAGCTTTTTACTGTGTTGGCAATCTCTGATATTA